GCACTAGCTCAGCCCTGTCCACACTGGCAAGGCACGTAGAGCGCTCTGACTCCGTGGCTGGGCCGCTCCTGTGCACTCCACCTCGGCGCGTGGAGTAACACTCCAGCCGCGGCACCAGTGTGGACGCCCTGGACTGTTAGTGCGCTCTGATCGGCCTCCAGAAGGGTCCCACAATGCCTGTGCTAGCCACTCTTTGCACTCTACTGCCCTGCCCTCCGGTGACCAACCGTCAGACCTGCCTTTCAGATTCTCCGGGAATTTTGAAAATCCCCTTCCTGTTTGCTCAGCCAGGCGTGGAGTGCTCTCAGCGAATCTTTCCAGGTGGCCATGCCGCCACGCGCCAGGCGAGCCCCAGGATGGAGCAATGGCGAGGTGCTGGACCTCATCAGTGTTTGCGGGGAGGAAGCTGCCCAGTCCCAGCTGCGCTCCGGCCGCAGGAATTATGATACCTTCGGGCAGATATCAAGGGACATGCTGGAAAGGGGCCATGACCGGGACGCACTGCAGTGTAGGGTTAAAGTGAAGGAGCTGCGGAATGCCTACCGCAAAGCCTGTGAGGCAAACAGCTGCTCCGGTGTTGCCCCCGCGACCTGCCGTTTCTACAAAGAGCTGGATGTGATACTTGGGGGCGACCCTACCTCCACTCCGAGTACCACCCTGGACACTTCAGAGCCCAGTGCAACAAGGCAGGAGGAGGAGGAGGAGGAGCAAAGCAGGAGCGAGGGTGCTGAGGCAGAAGAAGACACCCCAGAATCCCTAGATTCATGCAGACCGGAGCTGTTCTCAAGCCAGGAGGAAGTTAGCCAGTCGTGGTGGCCAGTGCTTGGGGAAGGACAAACACCAGAGGAGGTTCCCGGGAAGCGGCTTTTATTTTGGGAAGGAAGTTACTCGGTGCGGGCTCTTGGGGCGAGAAGGGTTAGGGCCGCATGCCTGCCTAGATGCGGAATAGGGCATTGAGGTGCTCTCTCACATCGCGGCAATTGGCCTGTGGTCTCCTCAGAGGTCTCATCGAGAACTTGGGCAATACACTTGCGCAGGTTTCTCGGGAGAACCGCTGTGTTCCTTGTCCCAGTCAGGCTAACATGTCCGCGCCACTGTGCCGGGAGGGGCGGGGGGACCATTGCTGCACACAGGCAAGCTGCATGTGGGCCAGGGCAGAAGCCGCATTGCAGTAGAAGATCCTCCCTTGCTTCCCTGGTCACCCTCAGCAGCGAGATCTCTTCCAGGACGAACTCCTGTGGAAAATGGGGGGACAGTGTTCAGTGTAGGGGCCCCCTGCTGCTGTTGGCTCTCCCCAAGGCGCAGAGGACAGTACAGCCATGAAAGATTCAGTCCTCCTTGACCCTTTGCTTATTCACCATTTTGGGGCTCCCGTGGGTTTATCTGCGCTCACCTTGGGACGGGCAAATTATCCTATTGTGTAGACTGTGCTTGCTCTTAAGTACGGGGGAATCATTGCTCTGTCTGGTGTGAACAATGCTGCCTCTGTGAAGTGTTGCATTTTGCCTTTACAGATGCAACCTTGAGCTCTCAGCCGTCCGTGTTATCACCAGCCGAAAGACTCCAAAGAATCAGAAAGAGGCCACTTAGAAGCAAGGAAGACATGTTGCATGAAGTAATGCAGCATGCCAGTAACGAAAATCGAAAAGTGCAGGAGTGGCGGGACCGGGAAAGGAGGATCCGCCAGCAGGAGGAGAGCCGGCGCAAAAGCGCGGAGCTCCGGCAGCAAAGCACGGAGCGGCTGACAAGCATCATGGCGTGCCAAGCGGACTCGATCCAGGCGCTCGTAGCCATGCAGGCGGAACACTACCGTGCCCAACCCCCCCCGCAGCCCTTGTCCCAAAACTCTTTCCCTTGTGCCCCCATGTCACCTCCAACGTCCAACTTCCGGGTTCTTACCACCACCAGCTGCCTCCAACACCTGGAGCTTCACCACCCAGCCCTGAAAACTACGACCCTTATCCACTGCACTCAACCCCCACCACCATGCAGTATAGCCATCCTGAAGTGCAGCACTCCTTGCACACCACTCCAGACAGGAAGGCTGAGTATGATAACATACGCATAACCTGTGATTGTACCGTTCCCACCCCACCCCCTTGCCCTTTGTGTTTCCCAAGCAGTTGTGTTTCTTTTCAATAAATGAATTTTCTTTTCAATAAATGGATTTTTTGGCTTTGAAAACATTCTTTATTGCATAAAGTAAAAGATACCTTAGCCCAGGAAAGAAACAGGCACTGCAAGTCAGCATAGCAAACACAGATTCCTACTAACATTGGAACCATTGCACTTCACTCCCATGCAGGGCACCAGATATTACCGCTGGCTTTCAGCTGCAAATTGCTCCCTCAAGGCATCCCTAATCCTTGCATCCCTAATCCTTGCAGCCCCGCCCTGGGCCCCTCTAATAGCCCTGCTCTCTGGCTGTTCAAATTCAGCCTCCAGGTGTTGAACCTCTGAGTTCCATGCCTGAGTGAATCATTCACCCTTCCCTTCACAAATGTTATGGAGGGTACAGCATGCAGATATAACCGCGAGGATGCTGTCATCGGCCAGGTCCAGCTTCCCATACAGAGAGCACCAGCGGCCCTTTAAACGGCCAAAAGCACACTCCGCAGTCATTCTGCACCGCCTCAGCCTGTTGTTGAACCCCTCCTTGCTGCTATCAAGGCTCTCTGTGTAGGGTTTCATGCGCCACGGCATTAAAGGGGAAGCGGGGTCTCCAAGGATCACAATGGGCATTTCAACTTCCCCTACGGTGATCTTCTGGCCCAGGAAAAAAGTCCCGGCTTGCAGCTTCCTGAACAGGTCAGTGTTCCGAAAGATGCGTGCGTCATGCACCTTTCCGGGCCAGCCTGCGTTAATGTCAATGAAATGCCTGCAGTGATCCACAGGCACCTGGAGAACCATAGAGAAATACCCCTTCCGATTAACATACTCAGAGGCTAGGTGGGCTGCTGCCAGAATTGGAATATGCGTGCTATCTATCGCCCCTCTGCAGTTAGGGAAACCATTTGTGCAAAGCCATCCATGATGTCATGCACGTTACCCAGAATCATGGTTCTTCTGAGCAGAATGCAATTAATGGCCCTGCAAACTTGCATCAACACGATTCCAACAGTCGACTTTCCCACTCCAAACTGGTTAGCGACCAATCGGTAGCTGTCTGGAGTTGCCAGCTTCCAGAGTGCAATAGCCACCCGCTTCTCCACCGTCAGGGCAGCTCTCAATCTCATGTCCTTGCGCCGCAGGGTGGGGGCGTGCTCCTCACAGTCCCACGAAAGTGGCTTTTCTCATCTGAAAGTTCTGCAGCCACTGCTCGTCATCCCAGACGTGCCTGACGATGTGATCCCACCGCTCAGTGCTTGTTTCCGAGCCCAAAAGCAGCGTTCCACGGTGGTGAGCATGTCCGTGAATGCCCCAAGCAAACTCGTGTCGCATGCGTTACTCGAGTCGATATCATCGTCGGAGCCCTCACTGTCACTTTGGATCATAAGGGATAACTCGACGGCCAAACGTGACGTGCCGGCGAGACTCGTCAGCATATTCCTCAGCAGTTTGGGCTCCATTCCCGCAGACTGAAAGGGAAGACAGAGCGCGCAGTGCAAAAACCGTTGAAAGATGGCGCTAAATGTGGATTCAGAGGAACAGCCATGTTAGTCTGTATTCGCAAAAAGAAAAGGAGTACTTGTGGCACCTTAGAGACTAACCAATTTATTTGAGCATGAGCTTTCGTGAGCTACAGCTCACTTCATCAGATGCATACTGTGGAAACTGCAGCAGACTTTATATACACACAGAGAATATGAAACAATATCTCCTCCCACTCCACTGTCCTGCTGGTAATAGCTTATCTAAAGTGATCAACAGGTGGGCCATTTCCAGCACAAATGTGGATGGAAGCACAGGGATTGCTGGGATGCGAACTGATGCATCATGGGGCGTTGGGATAGGACCCAGAATGTCCCCTGCCCCCTTCCCGCAAGCCACAGTGCCAGAATGGGAAGAGGTGCTCTGTGGGATAGCTGCCCATAATGCACTGCTCCCAATGCCGCTGCAAGTGCGGCAAAAGTGGCCATGCCAGTGAGCTTGTTCCTGTCAGTGTGGACAGACTGCAGCGTTTTCCCGACTGCGCTCTTCGAAGGCGGGTTTACCTCAAAGCGCTCTACATCTGCAAGTGTAGCCATGCCCTCTGTTAAACTGACCTAATTTTCTAGTATAATCCGTTGTAAAGCCAGTCACTGCACTGACTTCAACGGAGTAACTCACCAGTGTAACAGATCCAATTCTGGTCCTACGGTCATTGATTAAAGTGGAGCAACTCCAGTTTTACATCATCATAACTGAGATCAGTGTGGCCCCGGCTTCACTGATTAAGTGGAATGACTCTAGATTTACCCTCAGGGTAACAGAGATCAGAGTCTGGCCCTGACTATTAAGTGGCGTGGCGTGCCTTCAGATTTACACCAGCATCACAGATCCACTGATTAAGTGGAGTAAATCCAGATTGACACCAGCCTAGCTGTTGCATCTGATGAAGTGAGCTGTAGCTCACGAAAGCTTATGCTCAAATAAATTGGTTAGTCTCTAAGGTGCCACAAGTCCTCCTTTTCTTTCAGCCTAGCTGAGATCAACTTGGCCCTGACTTTATTGATTAAGACTTTATTGATTAAGAGGGTCCCCTGGGGCTGGCAGGGATGGGACCAGGCCATGAGGGTCCCCTGGAGGAGGGTCCCTGGGGCTGGCAGGCAGGGGAGGAAGGTTCCCTGGGGCTAGCAGGGTGGACCGCACAGGACAAAGGTCCCCTCTTGGGCTGGTTGGGGGGCTGTCCCTGGGGCTGGCAGGGGTGGGACCAAGGTTGCTTGGCTTGTGGGGGTCACTGGGACGAGGGACTCCAGAATGACCCCCGCCTGAGATCAGAGTCTGGCGTGTGGGTGTGAACGCACCTTTGCCCCCCGCCGCCGCCCCCTTTCCAAACCGATCCGCACCTCAACCCTAGCCCGGCTCCACCCGCGCCCGGGGCTGTGGCCCGCCGGCGGGGAGCGGCCCGGCCGTTCACAATCCCCTCCCCGGCGTCCCCGGGAGCTGCCGCCGCCGGAGCCGCGGGCGGACCATGGCCGCCGAGCGAGGGCCCGGCCGCAGGAAGCCGTGTCCGCTCCGCAGCGCCCTCCGGAAGGCGGCCCGGAGCCCCGGCCCCCGCGGTAAGGAGCCGCAGCGGGGAGAGGGGCGGGCTCCGGCGGGCGGCGCCCCCGGGACGGCTCCCGGAGGCCGGGTGCTGAGCCAGGGGCCGCCTGCGGGGGCTCGTCTCCTCCCAGGGGTCCCGGTCCCGCCCCCGCCAGCCCCAGGGGGCCCCGATCCCAGCCCTGCCACGCCCAGGGGACCCTGCTCCCGTCTCCTGCCTGCCCCACCGACCCTGCTCCCACCCCCAGGGGACCCTGCTCCCGTCTCCTGCCTGCCCCACCGACCCTGCTCCCACCCCCAGGGGACCCTGCTCCCGTCTCCTGCCTGCCCCACCGACCCTGCTCCCACCCCCAGTGGACCCTGCTCCCGACTCCTGCCTGCCCCACCGACCCTGCTCCCACCCCCAGTGGACCCTGCTCCCGACTCCTGCCTGCCCCACCGACCCTGCTCCCACCCCCAGGGGAACCTGCTCCCGTCTCCTGCCTGCCCCACCGACCCTGCTCCCACCCCCTGGGGGACCCTGCTCCCGACTCCTGCCTGCCCCACCGACCCTGCTCCCACCCCCCAGGGGACCCTGCTCCCGACTCCTGCCTGCCCCACCGACCCTGCTCCCACCCCCCAGGGGACCCTGCTCCCGACTCCTGCCTGCCCCACCGACCCTGCTCCCACCCCCAGGGGACCCTGCTCCCGTCTCCTGCCTGCCCCACCGACCCTGCTCCCACCCCCTGGGGGACCCTGCTCCCGACTCCTGCCTGCCCCACCGACCCTGCTCCCACCCCCAGGGGACCCTGCTCCCGACTCCTGCCTGCCCCACCGACCCTGCTCCCAGCCGTGCCAGCCCCAGTGGACCCCGCTCCCACCCCCAGGGGACCCTGCTCCCAGCCCTGCCAGCCCCAGTGGACCCCGCTCCCATCTCCTGCCTGCCACAGGGACCCCGATCCCACCTTTCCCAGCCCAAGGGGACCCTGGTCCCACCCCCACCAGCGCCAGGGACTCTCCCATGCCAGCCCCAGCGACCCCGGTCCCTCCCCCACCAGCACCAGTGACCCCGATCCCACCACTGCCAGCCCGCCCAAGGGACGCCAGTCCCACCCCCAGAGATCCACCCTGCTAGCCTCAGGGAACCTTCCTCCCCTGCCTGCCAGCCCAAGGGGACGCACCCTGCCCGCCCCAGGGACCCTGCTCCCGTCTCCTTGCTGCCCCACAGCCCCTGGTCCCTCCCCCGCCAGCCCCAGCGACCCCACTCCCACCTACGCCAGCCCCAGGGGACCCTGCTCCTGTCTGCCCTACCGACCCCGGTCCCACCCCTGCCAGCCCAAGGGACCCCCCCACCTGCCCCAGAAGACCCTGCTCCCATCTCCTACCTCCCACCCGAGGCACCCTGCCCCCACCCCTGCCTGTCCCAGGGGACCCCCCTGCTAGCCGCCAAGGACCCAGCAACCCTGCTCCCACCTCTGCCAGCCCCAGTGACACTGGTCCCACCCACACCAGCACTGAGGGCTCTCTTGTCAGCCCCAATGACCCAGGACCCGCCCCCTCCCCCTGCAAGCCCCAGTGACTCTCTTGCCAGCCCCAGAGGACCCTGCTCCAGCGACCCTGGACCCCCTGCCAGCCCCAGGGGCCCTAGTCCTCCCCCCACACGTCCCAGTGACCCCCACAGGCCAAGCAACCTTGGTCCCACCCCTGCCAGCCCCAGGGACAGCCCCCCAACTAGCCCAAGAGGGGACCTTTGTCCCGTGCGTGCCATCTATAGGAGATCCACCCTGCTAGCCCCAGAGAACCTTCCTCCCCTGCCTGCCAGCCCCAGGAACCCTCCTCCAGGGGACCCTCATGGCCTCGTCCCATCCCTGCCAGCCCCAGGGGACCCTCTTCCTAAGACTTCTCCCATCCATACCAAATACACTCAAAAGAGTCAGACCTCTGGCTTCGCAGTAGAAGGTTCTTCCCTATGATGAAACGGACACATCCTGTCCTGTGGGGAAGGAGGTTCCCAGGTTGGGGCCTGGTTGTGTGTGTTGTGGGGGAGGGGATGGATTTGTGGGCTATGGTGCCTGTGACCCAAATTGAAAGGTGTTGGGGAGGCTATTTCATTTGTCCCCACTTGTGTTAATTATTTTGCCTGCTCGGTCAGTTCCGCTTGTAAATTACACATCCCAAATGCCCCCCAGTCACATCCCTTCTGGGACCACCTTGCACCCCCTGAATTTGGCCGAGAGGTGTACAGGGGAGGTGAGCACCCGCTTAACTGGCTGTGTTTTAGCCTCTGTGTTGAGGTGGAGCAGGAGAGAGGGAGGTCTCTGTGGGTGGAGGGAGGAGATGTGGGGTGGGGTGTGTCTGTGTGTGGAAGGCCTTCTCTCACAACTGGAGTAGTGAGTGACTAACAGCACTAATTGTTTCACGGATAATGGGGAAACTGTATTCAGCTGCAACTCCCACTGCATTGGTCTGGCTGGAGCTTGGGTCAATATTGACCTACACCTCTGTCTCTTTGCCTGCTATTATTCCCATGGCACCAAGGATCCAATCCAACGCCCATGAAAATCACTGGAAAGGCTCCCCCTGGGACCCAGGTGGGCTTTGGATCCAGCCCTGAGTGTGGCACTGAAGATCCTTGTGCTCCGGGGGGAGTCGAAGAGGCCCAGCCCCTGACAGGATTGGGCCCGTAATAAAATAGATCTGGTATATGCCCTATGGGCATGATTTTCAGAAGGCGCTCAGCACCTCCCCCACATGAGCTGGGAGCGCCCAGGATCCCCGGGAATCAGGGCCTAGGTCACAAACAAACACAAACCAGCTCCTATTCTTGCCCTTCATGCGGAGATCTCAAACGTTAGTGAACAAGGCCTCACCTCCCAGGGCTAGGTCAGTATCATTCTCCCCATTGTACAGAGGGGGAAACCAAGGCACGGGGGAAGCAGCTTACCCAAGGCCATACAGCAAGTCAGTGGCAGAGCTGCGAGCAGAACCCAGGCGTCCTACCTCTCGGTCCCCACTGCTCTGCTGAGGAGGGACTTGCCCACACGTGGAGTTACTCAGGAATAGCTGTTTACACTTTAAATTCACACCCTGCCTCAGGGGTAGGCAACCTCCGGCCCGCATGCCAAAGGTGGCACATGAGCTGAATGTCAGCGGCACTCGCACTGCCCAGGTCCTGGCCACTGGTCCGGGGGGGGGGCTCTGCATTGAAATTTCATTTTAAATGAAGCTGCTTAAACATTTTAAAAACCTTATTTACTTTACATAGGACAATAGTTTAGTTATATATTATAGACCTATAGAAAGAGACCTTCTAAAAATGTTAAAATGTATTACTGGCACGCGAAAGCTTAAATTCGAGTGACTAGATGAAGACTCGGCACACCACTTCTGAAAGGGTGCTGACCCCAGCCCTGCCTGAATCTGAATTAACTAAACCCTAAATCCCTTTACAGAGAGAAGAATAGAGCCCAGGAGTCCTGACCCCCAGGCCCCACTGCTCTGATTAGTATATCCCACTCCCTCCCAGGGGCAGGAATAGAATCCAAGAGTCCCGCCTCCCAGTCCCATGCTCTAACCCCTAGACCCCACTCTCTCTAAGGACAGGAACAGAACTCGGCTCACAAGCTTTTTGAGGTAGGAACGGTCTTTTTGTTATGAGTCTGTGGGGCAGGGGCCCTAGCACCGTGGGGCAGGGGCCTTTAGATATTACTGCAATGCAAATAACCACACAGGCATCCTAACTTCTAGCGCCCCACTTCTCTAACCACTCGTCCACCCTGCTTCTCAGAGGTAGGGATACCCACAGGTCCTGTCTCCCTTTGCCCCCCTGCCAGGCATGGAACCCAGGAGTCCTGACTTGAACCTCCTTCCTTCTCTCCGGAGAAGCTGCTAACCCCTCCCGTTCCTCTCTAGTTGGGGGTCTTTAATAGGTTAGTGTCCCTTTGACCCTAGGCTTGGGCCTGAGAAAAATAAACCTGTTAGCCTGGCTGAAACTGGCCAGGTCGGTATTTCCCAATTAGTAGCTCCCCCATTGATTTCTTAAGGACCCTTGGTATTCTCTGTCTCCCTCCTTGTTCCGTTTCCTGCTTGCTTCCCCGCTAGCAGCCGCCTTTGATTTCATGCCACACAGTCACACAGAATAATAGTAAGCAGGTAAACTGAGGTACACATGATGCTTATCAAAAAGATAATGCGGCTGTCGCCCTCATTTTCCAATGCTGGTCTCTCGCTCTCCCTCTCCTTAGATAGCAGGCTGGACCCATCCCAGAAGCTGGTGGGGCACTGGGCCTCCATTAACTTGGTCTCCGGTGTCCCCTCCCAGCTGCCCCCGCAAGAAAGCATGGAGTCCTCCCAGGAGGACATTGCAAAAGCCAGGCCGACAGCCGCCAAGCTGGAGCAGATCCTACACCCGGAGGTGCCTTCAGCCGAGACCTTTAGCTGCAACCCAGCACCCTGCCCTCACCTATCCCTGGAGCACCAGGCAGGCCAGCTGGGGATGCTGTCCGGGGAGTATCTGCAGATGTGTTTAAGCAGCATGGGAGAGTCGCCTTTGCACAGCAACTTGGCGTCTGCCTTGCTACCTGCAGTACCTTCCTCAGATGTTCCTTTGCTACCAGCCAGCATGCCCCCATCTCCTAGGGCCTCCTGCATGGGTAAGTCATATCATGCCAGTTTGGACACCCTAGGCTCCGCTTCCCCATACAATCAGCCCCACCTTGCAGTTCAAGTAGCCTAGTCCCCGGGTTAGCCCTTAAGGCTACTGTCTGAGGCTGCAGGTTGGCTGAAATGCTAGCTGTAGGAGAGGTGAGAACTGCTCCCATAATTGGTCGTTAACTCTGAAACCTACTGACCAAAACCCCATACATTGTCCTTGTTAGCTGTTTCACTGCTGATCATTTCAGCAGTAAGAACTAGCTAGTCTGGCATAGTGGGAGGAGTCTAATTACAGCACAGCCACTCCCTCGCCCCCTCCCCCCCACTCCTCTTGACGACGTTAGAGATGTTTAGAGGGAAGTAATGTGGCTGGAACTTGAGAGATGGGGGTTCTGTTCCCCACTTTTCCACTGGCAGGTTAGGTGACCTTTAGGGCCCTCTTTGTGCTGGTTTCCTCATTACACAGATGGGGCTAATGATCCTTACTCTCTTTTGTAAGAGGCTTTGAGCTCTCGGGATGGAAAGCACTAGATAAAAGTGAGGGGCGGTTACTAAACAGACCTGGTTGCCATTCTTTCAGAAACCAATGCAGCAGTGGATCCCGAGACTGGAGAGTGGGCACTGGCCTAACCCTGTCCATCTCGCCCCTTTTCAGAGGGCTGATCTCTTCCCCGGGGCCGGCCATGCCTCAGACCCGCTTCTCTCCTCCCTGCCGCCACGTCCTTCCGAGCTGGAGTAGCGACCCGCCGTTCAGCGTCCCAGCGATACTCCCTACGCGATGGGGGACATTAACCACTTTCCCCTTAACGTGCTCCAGGGCGCAGCATTTAGAATGGTGGAGAATAAACCCAAGCTAGAGGGTCCCACAGCAGAACCCCTGAAACCTTCCAGATTCACACCTAAGCCCTTTGTGCCTTCCAAGCGCTCGACTTCCCGCCCATCCTCCATTCTAGCAAAATCAATGGCAGCTTTGCAACCTCTTCTAGACAGGAGCAGGCACCAGTGAAATGCAGCCACCTCTGGGCTGGAACACAGCAGCACCGCAGAGCCTGTTATGGTCTGTGTGCATTTCACAGGGACAATTTAGGGAAGGAGGTTGATTTGGCCAGAAGCAGGGGGGGATTCAGGTTAAGATTTTTTTTTTTAAATTGCGTTTTAGGTTGTCTGAGTCCCCTTAGAGGCCCCCCACTATCAGAAAAGATCAAGCAGGCACCCTCTGAAAATCAGGCCCTCTGAAAAGAGGTCTCAGACTGGGTGTTCAATGGGAAAGCAGGATCCCCTTTACGATCTCTGCTTCTCTCTCTCCACCCTGCCCGTCTTCCCCTCTGTCATTCCGTCCCTGCAGCAGCTCCTGCTGGTCATGGCCTTCCCTCTCCTGTGTTCCCCTTCCTCATGGCAAATTCTGTAGCCTCCCTGCAGATCAAGTACAATGCAATCTCTAGCTAGGTCCTTAAGACTGCCTGGCTGTTCAGTCTACATCCATCAACGGTGATCTTCTCGTACCCCCAAAGCTTTGGGCACCCACGTGATTGCCACCCAGCAGCAGCCTCGTCCAAGCGTTTCCATCAGCGCTGTTAGTGAACGAACACTAGTGCCAGGCTGCAGGTCCTGTGGGAATGGGAAAACCGCACAGCTGCCCTGTTCCCCATCGCACCTGCTCAAATGAGCACCTCCCCCCACCCCAAAGTCCCTTATCGCTTTTGCAAATCTTGGTCTTTGCCGTCTACCTGGGGGTAGGTGTCTCTGGGCTTCCACCCTATGGTTGAGAGGCGCTAGAGAAAAACCTGCAGGGTACAGAAGGCACCAGCTGCAGCCTTAAAGCATTGAAACAAAATTCTACTGCTTACAATCATGCCAACATTTGTTTTTCCAAAGGCTGGTTTTAGCCAACTCTGTTCTTTTAAAAAGAGCTCTCCACTTTTTTATATAAACACTCTGGCAGAGCTCCGACCTTGGCCCTGTGGGTCCCGCGCTTCCAGGTGGGTTATGCTAGCCTCAGCGGCTCACTGCGACCCTCCACGTAGCCCTTCTCTCTCTAGGGCCAGGGTTACAGTCTACTGAGCCCTTTTCATCATAAGCCAGCAAGGAGGTTGGTGAGAGAACTCCCACAGTCTCTGTTGTCCCTAAGGGCTTATTCCAGAACAGTTTTGCCTCCTGTCCTGACAGGGGCCTGTCTTCCCCTCCCATGAGATGTTTCTGTAGTGGCGGGTTGGGGGGCATCTGGGCCTGCCTTCTACTCCAGGTTCCAGCCCAGGGACCCTAATGGTAGCAGCTGTTGGCAGCCGACCTTTCACTGCCAGAGTTGCTACATTTCCCTGGGCCACTTCCCCACAGCTCTCCTGCTTCTTCACCCTTACTGAGGGCTTGAGGGTCTCTTCATTAACCAGCCTTTCGGCTGCACTTCCTCTCCCTTGGCTCTCCTCAGCCTGACTGAGTGAGCCCTTTTATAGTATCAGAAGGGCCATAATTAGAGTCAGGTGTTCATATTACCTTAATGACCTCACCTGACTCTTTGCAGGTTAATTGGAGTCAGGTGTTCTCCTGAGCCTGGAATAGCCCCTGCTCTGGTCAGTCAGGGAACAGAAAACTGCTAATCCAGTGGCCAGTATATCTGCCTTCTACGACTCTGCTGTACCCAACTGGCCTGGGTCTATCACCAGACTTTAAAGAGACATCAATATTTGTCCTATAAACACTGATCTCACAGCCTGCCTGGTAAAAGTTAGGGGCTAAAACCTAGCCTAGGCTTCCATGCATTCCTTTGCAAGCGTGTTACGCAAGCTGCAGGCTGCCAGGTAGGCAAGCCAGTGTTGTGTACGAAGAGCTGTCCCTCTCTCTTAGAGAGGCATTTCATATGCAGGAAAGAATTGGCACCTACCACAGCCTCAAAGGATTTTTTTTTTTTTTTTTGGGCTACTAGGCCCTGCCTCAAATTTATTTTTCTTGTTCACGCGTCACTTGCGACACACCAGCTGCAACATTCTTGTCAAGGGTGAATGGTTTTCCCAAAGGAGGGGGTAATGATGGATGTGGGTCAATCCAACGCCGCGTGTCAGTAGCAGATGAGTTCCCCTTGACTGCAGAGGGCTTTGGATGGGGGCCTAAGAGAAAGCAAGTAGGGGAGGGATTGCTTTTGCATTATGTCAGTGGGGAAAATAAATAAATAAAGGATCTTTTACTTTCGTAAGTTGTGTAACTTGGTTCAGTCACTTTGAACTACCTGGAAGTTCTTGTATAAAAGGAGCGGAGCAGATTTAAAAAAAATAATCAGGCTTTCTATCCTGCAGGAAATTCCAGTATGTCTGTATCTGTTTCCAGGCTGAACTGGGGGAAAAACAGTCTCAAAACTTTTCATGAACATAAGAATGGGGATAGTGGGTCAGACCAATGGTCCGTCTATCTCAGTATCCAGTCTAAAGAGTTCTAAAAAAATTCCCATTTGCAAGTGTCTAATTGTTGTGGGTTGATATTAAGCTCTCTGCCTTCCTGAGAGGCTGCAATGATTGATGGGAGTTATAGTTCTGGGACTCATGCTTGCCTGTGGGCTCAGTTCACTGGTTAGACTACATTTCCCATGAACCACTGCAGTCTCATGCTGCTCAGTGAATCATGGGAGACATAGTCCAGTCAGGGACTCCTTAGGGAGAACAAGGGCAGGAAGCACCACGGTAGCTTAGGCAGACACAGATAGTGCTTAAATTTTCCTGCTGAAAGTTGTGTTGGTGAAACCCCATTTCCCAACAGGAAAAGGTTTCTTCCCACCGTTCTTCCAAGCAGCCTGGAAAAAAAAAAAAAATCATCCAAACTGCAACAGGCTCCTGGTCTGGTCTCATCTGCAGGAACAGCCCGAGGAAGATGAAACCACTAGCAGTGTGGAATTCCTGACTCCTTCAGGCTTGCAACCCTGCAGCAAGAGGTTGGGGTTGCTTTAGCCCAGAATCGTAGATACAGAAACATCACAAAGGTGGCAGGTTCAGCTCCAAAGCCCATGAACGCTCAGCACAAGTGTGGGGGATTTGATCTGCAACCAACACTGGAGCCGAGCACCACACAATCCTGTCTTTTTAAGAATCATCCAGCTGGAGTCCTGAAGCAGAAAGTCCCACAGGTTAGACACTCCATGTCTACAGTGCCGTGCAACCGCACCCAGGCTCCTGCAGTGAAACCCTGGCTGCTGGGAACTCAGCGTGAGTGGTACCAGAAGACAGGATTTCATCACTAGAGCATATCTGCACCACGCTGTCACAGCAATGCTTGAGGCCTACTGGGTGACCATGAGCAAGTCACTTCCCCTCTCTGGGCCTCAGTTCCCCCCCCAATCAGTAAAGTGGAGATAGTGACACTGAACTCCTTTGGTGAAAAGAGCGAGATAGCATTAGAGGTTATTACTGTTATTTATATACACAGCAGACCATTGTCCCATTAAATAATTAGCTTGGGGAGGACGGGACAAGTTCATCCCAGACAGGGATAGTGCCGTCCATGCTAAAGCTCTCTCTGCTCCCCTTTACACTTCTAGGCCTGTGTGCAATACATCACAGACAGTCCCCAACCCCCTCCCAAAGACAGCTGGAGGCATGGAGCCAGAACTGATCCCTTGTCATAAAGGCAAGAACTGTTTATATCAGAAATGGACTGGACCAGAAACTCTCAACCAACCACCCTGCAGCCATAGAGTTTGGATTCAAACACTGGGCCCACCCTCTAGGGCCTTACCCAAGCCAACGTGACTGCTAACTCACCTGTTTCTCTGAGGTTGGGTCATCTCACGTGACACGGCAGGCAGGATAGCACTAAATAACGCTTAATAGAGCAGTTGGCAAACCCATGCCTCGTTTGAGATCTGGACATAACCTGTACCAGCTGAGACACCAGTTCTCTCAGGCCCAGAGCCAGCAGCTAGGCCAGGCTCAGTTGGATTCTCTACTCTCCAGCATCTTGCTGTCACTTGCTAGAGGGGAGCGGACTCAGACATTGCTCTGTTAGCAACAGGATGAACGTAGATCAAACCCAGGCAGAGAGAAATGCTGCTACTCTGCTACCTTGCACCTTAAGCTATTTGGCAACCATTAAATATTGATCACAAACAGATTGGCGTGACCGAGAAATTATTTCTTCCACTGGGGAAATGCAGCCAGTTCTGGGGCGGAACACTGTAGCACAGAAACAGTAAAGAGTAAGCCAGAAAGGGGAGCAACATCCGGTGCCAACTGAGACTGCGGGGAGAAAGGTAAATTCCAAATCTCTGGAATTTGGCTGGGACACTAACTTTAAATGGCTGCCCTCGTACCCAAAAGCCATCTTTGATCTTTAAAATGACCTGGGGCAATTCATTTCACTGAGCAGATATCCCTCCAGCAACACAATCCCACCTAACCCCCAGCGGGGGCACTGCATCAGACCACCACACCAAATCAGCCACGACCAGTTCCTCTATCGGTCTGCCATGTAGGCACCAGCCAAGCCGGGTTCACCTGGGAGATCTTACGGGATTGGCTTTTCACTGTGACCCACACAAGAGCCAGAAGCCCTCAACTGTAAAACTAGTTGAATTAAAATAGGCCACCAGAGAGCTGAGGCCCCATTCAGCACTAGAGAAAAGAAACCAGGATTTCATTTCCCTTTCAATAGGGAAATCAGTGAAGACTTACTCCCTTTTAATAATTTTTTACTATCTTCACCATTATCCCAGGTGGACGTTCCTGCAATGAAGCTGGAATGCCCTTTGACCACTGGGTCTTGCTGCCCCCAATGGTTTGTCCTGGTCGAGCAGGACACATGACAATTTATTTCAATCCATGGGGCAGGGATTTGTCTACTTCGGTGTTCACACAGCAGCTAGCCCAGGGTCCCAGGCACCACTCGAATATACGTGTACCAACAGCCTGGCCCTACAGATGTACAAAGCCACCAAAAGGCACAGAGGTCTTAAAAGTATTCTTTAATTGGTCCAAAAGGCAGATCAAAGATAGAAACATCTGAAGAAAACCTGCCACCACCTCACAAAACACAGAGTGAATTAAATAGAGCACAGTGAGGCACTGGGAGAGATTTCAAGTAACATTCAGAGCTGGGTCCTCTGAGCAAACTCAGCAGAGTGAGAGTAAGGATGTAACAACAGTGGGATCTGGAACTTGTAAGCTGGGAGGAGTGCTGGACACTCAGAATTAGACCTTTCAGGCCAAGATTTTCAAAAGGGTGACCAAAAAAAAAAAAAAAATCACCAGTCCCAACTTGAAGAGGTCCCGTTTTGCAGGCAGGGCCAAGCACCAACCCGCTGACAAAAGATCTGGCCCCTTTTGAGGGGGCTCACGTTGGACACCTAACACTGACGCACCCCAAAGTCATTAGCTCATTCTGAAAAGCCTCCACCCTATTGGCGAAAGGCAACCTTTTCGCCGTCCCAGATACGGTTCGAATTCACGGGCAGCAGATTGCCTCACTGGTGAGCATACGGCCGAGTGTTAGAGCTGTGAGACACCAGCTTCTCCCTCCAGGGAATCGGGGACTTTACGAACACTCAAGTGGGTGGCATGGGGGGTGTAAATAGGTTGCTGATCAGCTCACAAGCTGGTGATTTATACAGCAAAGGCGTGTTGCCTTCTGTGACCCAGCCCCTGATATCTCCTTGTGGGAGAAGGCGACTAGTGGTTTCTCCTTTTTAAGGAGACAGAAGATCATTTCTCCCAGTGGTGAACACAACCGGCCCCGCCCCCCGAGCCACAATCCCTCACTGGCTGGTTTAAAACAAGAGCAGTGATTAGAAACCAGAAGCTGGGTAGCACCTTGCAAAGCGCCCTATGGGAAGGTTCTGCATTTGTGAATGCCGGGTCAGGTGCGCTGATGGGTGGAGTGAAGGGAGAAGCTAGACACTGGACTAGAAACTGCTAATGCTTCTGACCGCCCCCACCCCCCCGAGACACATTTCTCTGGCAGGCCCTGCTGGATCCCAGCCCTGCCCTGGAATGTATTCTAGAGCCCCTCTGGAGAACCTCAGTGCCAGATACTGCTTCTTAAAGTCTTTTAGAAGCAGTAAGGGAGAAATGGATCAGTCCATCCTCAAGGCATCAGACAGTCGAACAGTTATGAATACAGGCCGGGTCTCCTTCCCACCCCACCATGCCAAGCTCCGAAGAGCCAGGATCCAGGGTGCAGAGGTCGCACTGCAGATCATTGCACTATTCCCCTCTGAGCCTGGATTGGCGAGGGGTCAGGACCACGGAGAGAGCGAGAGAGAAGAGGATGCATAACCATGGCAGTTAATAAATAAGTTCCCAGGAGCAGCCACTTCAGGAGCCTTGGGAGAGCCCAAGGGTCCGGCAAGAGAACCGGGGCCGGCGCTAGCTGTTTCCAAGTCCTGCCCACGTCGGTCAGTTGATGGGCTCATACTGGGAACGGCGCTTCCTCCGTGCGAACAGCACCACGAGGGCCCCCGCCAGCAGCAGGACCACGGGGGTGCCCAGGGCCACAGCCACGATGGCCATCACGAGGGGAGAGAAGGCGTCTTTCGGGGGCGTGCCGAAGCCGAGCAAGGCAGACCTGGTGGAGGCAGGGAGCAAAGGAAGAGGCTAGCCAGCGATGAAGAGGCCTGTTTGGGCCAATCAGCCGAATCTCATAGCCTCCTTCCTCCCGGGAACGGGGACAGAGGATGGCCTTGGGGCTAAGGCACTGGACTTGGGAGACTGCAGGCCAGTCACTTCCCCTCTGTGCCGAGACAGTGGGGTGGAGTTTGAAGTAGCCCGTGGCGGAGGACACAGGAAGCTACTTGGAGGGCAGGCAGAGATGGGGCTCAGTGACTGACCTTTCCAAGCCACAGGCCTGTCGGGAGGGGGAGTGGGGCAGCAGCAGCCAATCACAGGGAGCAACGAGAGTCAAACAGAGGCCTTCAGCCAGGAGCTCTCCAGGGCAGGGGCTGCACCCATCCATGCACATGGGCAGCACCTAGCACTCTGCAGGGTAGTGGGTAGAAGACAGCACTGCTGGGGGGGGGCGGGGAGACACCACTCAGACAGGCAGGGGGAGCAGAAGGAAGGTACCACTCACCAGCTCAGGTAGCCCTTCTCGGCGTAGACCTCCCCGTCCTCGCCGCTGAAGGAGATATTGATGGCGGCGATGCTGTGGCTGCGGCCCAGACCCTCCCCGAAGTAGGCGTGCGCGATGCTGGGCCCCGGCAGCGTCCGGTTGGCCGTCTGCAGGGGGTAGTAGCGACAGCGGATGGCGTTCTCCCGGCTGGCATCCCTGGAGCCGTACGCAGTCGTCTTCCACTGGAAGAAGCTCGGGCCGACGCTGTCGTTGCGGGGCTCGGACACCAGCTGGGCCATCTGCCCCCACCCAGACAGAGGAGAGAGAGCAAGACGTTAAGAAGGCAGACGAAGCAAGGGCATAATGACCAACTGTTCTCATGCTGGAGCAGGGGAGCTGGGATCAAGGACTCCTGGGGTCTGTCCCCAGCACTGGGAGGGAGCATGATCTAGTGATTAGAGCAAGGGGGGGCTGAGAGCCAGGATTCCTTCCAATGCCAAGGACAGAACCCAGGAGAGCACATTCTGCTGGTCAAAGCGGAGGGCCAGGACTCCTGGGTTCCTTTCCCAGCTCTGGCATTGACTCAGGCAAGTGACTTCACTTTCTCGTGCCTGGATTTCCCCCCACAAGCTGAAACTTCCCTTAAGAGCCTGAATAGCACAGACAGGTTGTAGAAGCCATAAACAAAACACCGTGGGAACAAATATTAGGCGAAGGGCCCTTTGCTAACCCTAACCTTTACCTTTGAAGCTTAAGAATTATAGCAGCCGGGAAAGTCTCCAAAGACAAAATTCCAAACCAAACAAGCAACGTTTCTCAGGAAGTTTTGTTTTCCAGCCAAGCTGGACTTAACCCTGCATGTCCTCCCCTGCCAACATCACAACCTCTTCAGGTCACTAGCAACATGTAGCACCAAGGGCCTGCACCTCTGCCACTTGAGCTAAAGGAGGAACTCCACTCGCTGTCACTGGTAGTAGACTCTTATCCTCAATATATGCGTCAGCTATTAGAATGGGACACCTCCAGCATGGGTCACATTCACGCCTACTCCAGCCTCTTCCCTCCCCATTCTATTCTATATCAGCTCCTACATGGTGCCCATTACCATGGTATCGGAGCTCCTAATCAGCCTCTGTCTAGGCAGCTAGATGGCTTTCAGCACCATAGCACCCCCTAGCCCTCACCTCAAAGATGGTGGGCGTGTACTCATCATCAATGGACCGCACCGACTGCAGCCTCTTGTGCCCCCCTTTCTCCTCCACCGTGACCACTTCCAGCAGGAAGCGAGACTTGTTGCCGCGCGGAGCCACGCTGTCCATGATGAACTCCACCTTGGAGCTGTTGGCGGTGTGCAGGAGGCGAGGGAGGGGGCCGTCCCGGCCACCCTCCTCGTAGGCAGTCACCTGGAGGCGGAGGCATACGAGAGGAATAGCACAGTCTAGCGGGCCAAGACTCAGAACTCATGGGGTCTGCTCCCAGCGCTGTCACTGACCTGCTGGGTGAGCTTGGGCAAGTCACGTCCCCTTTTTACGCCTCAGTTTCCCCTCACACCCTCCTTTGTCCATTCAGGTTGTCAGCTCTTTCAGACAGGGGCTCCATCGTGTCTGTTCAGCACGCAGCACTAGGGGGTCCAATTTCAGTGCTACCATAACACAAGTGTTACAGCAAGGATATGGGGGACTCGTCACGACACCCCTTATAGCTCCATATGCCCTACAGCAATCAGGAGCCTACAGTGATGAAACTGTGCCAGATTACCCAGCCCAGAGGCGTTACCATTGGAATAACAATGCACCTAAGGCCCTGGAGGATTCCCCAACTCTTCCAGCCTTTAAGTCAAGCCTGGATGTCTTTCTTAGGGAGACATGCTAGCTCCCCCAGAAGTTATGGGCTGGATGCAGCAATTGGTGGGCAAGGTTCTCTGGCCTGTGTTATACAGGAGGTTCGACCAGAGGATCAGAATGACCCCACCTCTCCTTAATCTATGAACCCTGCGAACCTCCTCCAAATAGTCCTGGGGGCTGGGAGAAGGTCAGAGAAATCTTGGGGTCTTGCTGGGCCACTGGGGAACCAGTGAGGAGTGGTCCATCCTCTGGGAAATGCTCTCACGCTACAGCGCAGGAGTCTGGGAGCCAGGACTCCGGGGTTCTATTCCCAGAGGGATATAATGGGGGGGGGGGAAGGCGGAGTCGGTGTGTGGCTTCTGGTAGTCAGGAAGCAGGTCCCAACGCAGCCCCACCTAACCATGGCCCTGCTGTGAGCTCAGGGAGGAGGCCCTTTCCCCTACTTGATCAGGAAGAGGTGAGGGGAAGGGTATATATGTCTGGGTGTGTAGGGGGAAGAATGCTGTTTGGGGAATGCAAACAGGGCTGGGAAGGGGACCAGAGCACCAGCACAGGACAGGGAGTGGGTGGACAGCAACAGAGGAGAGGCAGCGGAGAGCCCAGCGGGGGTCAGGAGAGGTGCATAGAGGGGTGCCTGGAGGGTAAGAGAGCAGGAGAGCGTGTGGCATATATCCAATGGCACAGGGGGTAGAGTCAAGAAGGCCCAAGGGGCCCTATCCAGAGCTCTTGGGAAGCCTCCCTTCACTTTCAATGGACATTGGGTCACATCCTTGGTCGGCTAGCAGCAACAGACCCCTCCCCTGGGAAGGACGCGAGGCAGGGGAGGGCTGCCTCACCTGGAAGGAGATGGTGCCATTGTGGGAGGTCCCCCCAGGGTCCACGGTGTTCATCCCCTGGAACTTGGCCATGAGGGCCGTCTGGTTCACGATCTGCCAGGAGAAGCCAGCCAGGTCATAGGAGGGGTAGAAGGGCTCCTCCTGCCCCTTGGAGAGTCCCGACGCATTGGTCCCGTTGTATTCGAACACCTGGAAGCAGGAGGGAGAGGGGCCTTGATTTGCATGGGAAGAGACTTTAAACACCCCCCACCACCATGCACGTGCGTACTTGACCCCAGCCCCTCGGCAACGCAGGGCACCAGGCACGTTCCACCTATTTCACCTGACTACTGAGGGAGGCACCCTCCATTGCAAATCCCTCCCGCTCCTTTCATCCCACCTGCATGCTCACTGGGGCTTGTTCCCCCCACTCCCCAGAAAGGAGCTGCCTCCTGCCGTACATTTCAAGGCACAGCACACAGACTAAGAGGCAGCAGAGTTTCCCAATTTGCAACCACAGCAGGGTTCCCACCCCAAAGGAAGTGGTGGGTGTGCCCCCGCCCCGCCCCGGGAAACGGATGGGGGACAGCGCACTGGAGAAGGCTGTGTAGGGACAGCTCTTCTCCCCCCCCCACCCCCAATCAGGCAGCAAACGGGCACGAACGGAGGGCAGCCGGATGTCCTACATGGCAGAGTTGGACGCCACCTTCTAGGACCAGTTGTGCCGGGAGCTAAGTAGGTGGCTCCTTCCTGGGGCGGCCCCTGCGACTCTGACCCAGCCTCCCCCCCCCCCCCACCGCCACCCCGACCTTCGTGAAGACGACAGCGGTGGAGTAGACGACGCTGCCGGGCGGCTCGATCCAGATGGCCCCGGCAGGGGAGGCCGAGAGGAGCTTGGTCCAGTTGACGTGCAGGGCGCTGCTCTCGCTCCGGGTGTAGACCAGCAGCACGGTGGGCGCCCCGATGCCACTCCACACGTAGTGCAGGGTGTCGTTCCGGCCCACAGCCCGCACGTGCAGGAGGCTGGCGGAGGAGCTGTTCGAGCCAGGGATGTACTGCAGGGTCACCTGGGCGGTGGGAGGCAGAGAGCGGGCAGGGCGTTATTAACTCACACAGACCGTTCCTGAGCTCATTAGACTCCACTCAGCACGTGCCCTGCTGGGCAGCAGCAGGACAAGTTTAGACAGTCTTGGACTCCTTAGGGCCACCGGGGATCTGGAGCGCTGCATTATATGGGCCCATTAAGCTGCCATACAACGTCTTAGCGACCTGTCTGGGACCCATTACCACAGCATCTAGGCATGAGAAAACCTTTGCGGTCTTCAGTCTCACACACCGCCTGTGGGGTAGCGAAGTATTCAGACAGGGGGAAACTGAGGCCCAGCAAGTCTCAGTGGCTTGCCTGATCTCACACAAGGAGTCTGGGGCAGAGTTGGGAATTGCACCCAGGCTTGGGAGACCTGAGGCTTGCTCCCTAACCACTAGGCCATCCTTCCCCGGCAGAGAGGGCTTCACTCCTGCTCCTCCTACAGGAGTGAGGTACAATTCCACTGTAACACACACAGCTGTATTTTGAATACAGTGGACCCCACAGGTACTAAACCCAGTTCAAGAAGGTTTCTCCTAATTCCATCAGGCTTGCCCCAGATATCGTCAGTCTGGCACACAAGGCTCCAGATGTTAAGAGGTGGAAGAGACACATCGAATCACCCAAGCCATCTACACAGAGCTCCCATCATTGAGCAGCCTCTAGTTTTGTTGTGTGCTTCACTTCGGCCAAAGTGTCTGACCAAAAGGAGCAGAACGTCAACCACCAAGGGAAGGGAAGGACATACATTTTCAGTTTCTTTCTGATGCAGGGGAAATAGGAGAAGAATCAAGAGGTTTGCTGCTGGCCTCGCTTCAATGCTCGGATTACACGGGACAGACAAACACACACTTCCCAGGCATATCATGAAGCCTTGTCAAAACCCACAAAGAAGTTGTATCCCAGGATAGCTGAAGCCATACAAGTGTGGAAGCAGCATAAATGGGATTACGTATAGCTATTCCTCTAGGAGAAGGGAAAATAAGTCACACCAGTGCAAGGCACCTTTACACCAGTACACAACTGTACACCATAACTGCAGCCACACTGGGAGGGTTGTACTGGTGTAACTATATTGCTTTAAAAAAAGAAAATCAAAGAAGTTAAAATAAATCGCACCCCTAACGAACAGTTATTTTGGGACAAACCCAGTGTTTCCTAGACCCACGGAAATGTAGGGCGGGAAGGGATCTCAAGGGGTGATCTAGTTCATCTCCACCCCCCAAGGCAGGATTAAGTAAAGCAGATTGATGAAGTGAGCTGTGGCTCACGAAAGCTCATGCTCAAATAAATTGGTTAGTCTCTAAGGTGCCACAAGTCCTCCTTTTCTTTTTGCAGGACAACGTCCCCCCAGCACTCACTGCCATACTGATCTGCTGGGACCCCCCCTAGAAGGCCGACAGGGGTCTGCCCGAGCCAGGCATTCCCTGCCCTCTCTCTGCAGAGTCTCCCCACTGAGGGCACACCCTCAGTTACTACTGGGCAGGCCCCCATGTGGTGTCATTAGCAGGGTTCTGAGCCCCCCAGCCCCCCACACTGGGCCAGACCCCAGTTCACAGAAAGGGCCCCCTAAGGCTACGGGACCCCTCAGAGCCAGAGAGGGGTATTGAGCCCAGATCCAAACTTCAGCATGTGGGAGATTCTGCCCCCCCCACACCCCCATTTCTTCAAGGTGCCTATTTGGGGCTTCCAAGCTACAGGCCTCTGGTTTATTTCACTCCTGGGCTTGTCTCTGGCCCAGCTGTAGGGAAGGATCAGTAGGAGCTGGTGGGCCAGGGTAAGAAGCCAGCTTCCTGGAGAGCCAGCGCTCGCCCTGCACCCCGGCTTCCTCCCCAGGGCCGGGCAGCTTGTTCCCTTTCTAGGGCTCGGCAGAGGCTACAGCGAACCCCAAAGTCAGCCAGAGGGAAGGCAGGGCGGTCGCAGACTTGCACAGAGAGAAACACCGGGGGACGGGACGCAGGTAGAGCTAATGGCATGAATCCAATCAGCCACCCACAAAAACAAAACCACCGCCCAGCCCAGCCTGCAGAGCCCCCCGCCGGCTGATCGCTCCCCTCTTTGCACGGATGTCCCCGGGGCCCGACACCAGACGCGGCGACAGCCACTAAATCCGCTTCCGCGGCCAAGGAGCCGAGCCCCCGGGTCCCAGCCCCCGGGTCCCCTCCGCTCACCTGCCTCCGATCGCCCCCCGCGGCCGCCAGCAGGCAAGAGAGACCCCCCAGCAGCCAGAGGCCGGGGAGCAGGAGGCGGCCTCCCGCCGGCATGCTGGTTACTGTGTTGCAACTCTCGCCTCACGTGCGCCCGCCCGGCTCGTCCCCCCTTAAAGGGGCAGGGCTGTCTTCTCTTAAAGGAGCCGCCGCCTGAAAAGAGGGGAGGGGGGAGAAGAGGAGGAGGAGGAGGAGGGGGGGTGTAGCCCAAATGAGGCTGTTCTCACCGCTCACTCGCATAAAGTTGGTCCACAGCCAGCCTGCCTCCCACAAGGCCCAAGCTCTAGGCCTACGTGAGGATGTCGACGCTACATCGTAAGTCCGGGTCTGGGGACCCGAGCTCGTGGACTGGGTGTTTCCAAGACCGCACCTGAGCATCCGCACTGCATTGGAAGCCTGGGCTGGACCTGGCTTTCCTGACCGAGCTACTGCATCCACACTGCTCTACGCAGACCTCCTGACTCAGGTCTGCTGCTTGAGCGGCATCCACGCTGCAGAATGACCGGGCTCGGATCCGAGCCGCAGCAGGACTCGGGCTCTAACCCCCCCACCCAGCAGGGTCCCAGGCCCCAGGCCTTCAGTCCTTGCTGATTGGAGTCAGACTGATTTGTTTGCAGAAGGAAGGGCGAGGGGGCTTTGGCTCAAACCTGAGGCAGAGCCCGGGCGTAATGTGCAATGTAGACAGACGCTGTATATCTGCAAGGATCCTTCCCCCCACCTCTGAAATGCAGCCACCTCTGGGATGGAACACCACAGCTGTACCATGTACGGGTGGCAAAAGACAAGCACACTGACCTTGCTGCCATGCCTCTGTTCTGTTAAGATTTCCACGGCAGAAACGCCGTAGCTGCAACACAAATCGAGGGTGAGCTGTGAAGCATTTAATACAACTTTTATTGGGAGAAAGGGGGGGACTTATTCTCTCTAATAACTTCCCACATCTCCCCTTTCAATGGTCTCCCATTACCATGACCTATTATTATGTATTATTGGCATTGCAGCAGTGCTTAGGAGCCTACCCCCTGGTGCAAAGTTCTGTACAAACACAAAAAAATGGTCCCCGCCCACAGAGCTTCCAATCTAAGTATAAGGCAAGAGACCCCAGGTAAATACAGCCAGGCAGGGGAGCACAAGGAAACAATGAGACAAGGTCACAGTGTTGGACAGTGGTCTCAGCCCACCAGCCACCTATTCATTGTCAAGGCATAACAGCAAAGGAGTCTCTGTAGATCAGCTTCTCTACGGGCATGTGAGGACTATTCCATTCAGCTTCATGCACGGACAACACCATTTTGTCTACACACAGAAGTGGCCCTGATTTTACTGAAACTAATGCAAGCTAAACTGCTCTTAGGGAGCTGTAAACTGACTTAAGCATGTCCACATGGGCATTTGTATTGGTTTAGCTACATCATTTTTGAAATTATAGTTAAATGGGTGCAACTTATGTCTGCTCTATTCTACAGAGGTTCTTATACCACGCTCATCATCCCCACAGTATCTGAGCACCGTCCCTTCGTGCACTAAGCAACATGTGTAGGTAAGGCCTACGTTCCGGTTGCAGGAACTTTGGCCCAGATCCTGAGGTACTTGAGACGATCTGGATGACCTTGAAAACTAGAGTAATAGGAATGGGGTGAAATTTAATAGTGCAAAGACATGCCCTAGGAACTAACAACAAGAATTTTTGCTATAAGCTGGGGACTTAACAGCTGGAGGCAACAGTGGAGGAGAAAGATGTGAGTGTACAGGTTGATCACAGAATGACTGTAAGCCACCAATGTGATGCGGCTGTGAAAAGGGCTACTACAGTCCCAGGATGCATCAGGCGAGGTATTTCCAGTAGAGACAGGGAAGTGTTAGTACCATTAAACAAGGCCCTGAGGAGACCTTATCTGGAATAGTGTGCACAGTTCTGGTCTCCCATGTTTAAGAAAGATGAATTCAAATTGGAACAGGTTCAGAGACGGGCAACGAGGATGATCCAAGGGATGGAAAACCTGCCTTATGAGAGGAGACTCAAAGAGCATGGCTTGTTTAGCCTGACCAAAAGGCGGCTGAGGGGAGATCTGATTACTGTCTATAAATACATCAGAGGGATAAATACCAAGGAGGGAGGGGAGTTATTTAAGTTAAGACCAATGTGGACACAAGAACAAACGGCTATAAACCGGCCATCAAGAAGTTTAGGCTTGACCTTAGATGAAAGTTTCTAACCATCAGAGGAGTGAAGTTCTGGAGCAGCCTCCCAAGAAGAGCAGGGGGGGCAGAAATCCCAACTGGCTTCAAGATTGAGCTTGATAAGTTTATGGCGGGGATGGTAGGAGGAGGCTGCTTACAATGTGGTATGTAGCTGATCTGCGGCTGCCAGCAGTAACTATCTGCAATGGCCGGAGAGGGGACACTAGCTGGGGAGGCCTCTGAGTTGCAACAGAGAATTGTTTTCCAAGTGTCTGGCTGGTGGGTCTTGACCACATGCTCAGGGTCTAACTGATCACCAGATTTGCAGGGGAGGGGATGGGGGGGGGAAGGAATTTTCCCCTGGGTCAGACTGGCAGAGCCCCTGGGGTTTCTCTGCAGCATGGGGCCCGGGTCACTTGTACATTTAAACTAGTGTAAATGGTGAATGCTGTGTAACTTGAAGTCTTTGAATCATGATTTGAAGATGTCAGTAACTGAGCCAGAGCTTAGGGGTCTTTTACAGGAGCGGCTGGGTGATGTTCTGTGGCCTGCAACATACAGCAGGTCAGATTAGATGAACATGATGGTCCCTTCTGGCTTTAAAAGTCTATGAGTCAATGGGGAAAAAAAAAAAAAAAAAGACAGTTTTAGCCCTGAACAGCCTCCTCTCCCCCTGCTGCCTTTAACTTGGAGCTTGTGTGCCTCGTCCAAAGGCGGGAGAGAGAGAGAGAGAAAATACTAACACTTCTGACAATGCAATCCCTCTTCTCTTGACATGCTTCAGGCACACTCACACGTGCTGCTTGACACTTTGGCTGTAAGTGAAGGAGAAAGGGAGGGTTTTAAGGTGAAATTTAGAGAAGGGAAGGGAGTCAGTCTTGGAAAGGAGAAGGGGAGGATTAGATGGATGGGAAAGCACAAGAGCACCCCGCAACTGTGCAAAGGGTGTGTGAAGGTGGATTTGAGATCCAGGGAAGGCAGAAAGAAGTCAGAGGTCTGGGTGGAGCAAGCCCACAGAGAAATGGGAATTAGATTTGGAAGTGGGTATGAGGCACGCAATGGATAAATAGCTGGGGGACTGAGGCTCACCTTCTTGCGGCTGGGAAATCCACCTGGGATATTCTGGACCCTCCTGTGGTTTAGAGATGTATGGTGTCAAATCCCTAAAAATGGGACCCAGCAATCGGCCATCAGGACCAGTCTGCTTTAAATCCATTTGTATTGGCACAGAATGATCCAGCAACAGGTTGACACATTAAACATGGTAGCTAAGGAAGCACAGACCCCATCAGGTTGCCTGAAATGGAGTAAACCACCCAGCAAGCATTAAATACATACCCACCCTAGCAGGAAATACACCTCCTACTGATTTGAAAATAGTTTCCTGAGACCGTGTAAATTGTGGGTAACAAGGAGAGGGCACAGATCACAGCCATGGTATGGGCACATAACACAGGGAGCACGTCAGTGGGTGCTTCAAGGGGAGCAGTGACGCCTAGCACATGCCGTTCCGAAGCCAGTGTGAGATACATGGATCGATGTGGTTGCTAGCATGGAATTCTTAGTCCCTGCCTGTGGATTGCTGCTCCTTTATGATACACGTATACCTCCCACTGGAGGATTTCAGAGCACATTAGAGGGAACATATAAAGCCTCAGAACCTCTACTACCATGGAAGTATTACCCCAAGGAGAAACTGAGACACCGAAAAGTGAAGGGACTTACCCAAGGTCACAAGTCTCTGGCAGAGTTGGGACTAGAACCCAGCCGCCCTGATTTCAGGAGCCCTTTGCTCTAAAATGCTAGCCACACCCCCGGCCTCCAGAGTGGTGGATTTGCATCAGTGTCGCACAAGCAGAAACAGGAGTTTGTTCAAGTAAAAGCACCAACCTAAGGTGGCTATTTGAAGTTTCAGGTATTACACATCAACTTTCTTAACTATTTACACCACAGGCGGCAGGTAATTAATTCCCCTTGGACTAATCCATTTTAGTGCAAGTAGGAGAAGGGAGCTCCCAAATCTTGCACAGCCCCACCTCCAGCATTCAGACAAGGCAGAGTTAAATCTACCAGCTAGCCCCAGCGCTATTTTAGTAGCCAAGCTTTGGAGCTCACATGCAGGGTAAACGGGCAGAATGATCTCTCCTTTCAAAGATGTGCAGCTCAGGGCACCATTCAAACCCAAAGTCTCAGGGAATGAAATGATAGGTGAGTGGAAGCCGATGGGGCAGAATTCTTCCTTGCCTGCTTTTGGATCTGCACCGTGATGTTACTTAAACCACAGGAGTCAAAGGAGGACGAATCTAAATACGTTCTAGGTATCACAGTGTTCAGTTAAACGATCGTAACGCTGCCCTGTAGTGACACCCTGAAGAAACAGTATTAACTGTACAGTAGTTACTGCAGAAGGTCACTGCAGGGCAGAGTTAAGGTGCCACAAGTACTCCTTTTCTTTTTGCGAATACAGACTAACACGGTTGTTCCTCTGAAACCGGTTATTTGAGTGTCTTTACCATAAAACGTTCAAATTTCAGTTTAACCTTAATCCTCAATTTCCTAGGTTTACAATGCTTGGCTTGGGCTAATGACGATATGCCTATGAGGTCCTTTACCCTGATACTTTTTTTTTTGTGGGGGTTGGGGGAGAAGAAAATATATGTGGGTTGAGATTTCCAGGTTCCATGGGGAGTTAGAAACCCAATTCCCATTTAATTTAAAGACACTGGACATCCAAATCCTAACCTTACGATTTTAAATTTTATGTAGTGCCAGTGAAAGATGCCAGCCTACTTACTTGGTGGGCACTAGCCACTAATCTAACAGAAGGCCTACCCCTCAGATGAGGGAGGGGGCCCAGGACTTAATCAAACATGGGGGAACTGACAGTCTGGGAGATAGAACCAACTGAGAATGGGCAA